AGTTGACTTTCTGTTTCAGGGCGATTTTATCTGTGCATTTTTCCATTAAAATTAACAATTTATACCCATATTAATTTGTTAAAACATTCATAAGCCTTGTTAATGTGCAGCCATTGTTTATCGTTCAGAAAAGACATTTATTAACACTACAAGAAATGAAAATGCAATGAAAAAGCAGTGCAACACTAGGCTAGAAAGATGCCAGAATAAACACGTGTGTGTTCACTACTGACTGTGCCTTCTATCATAGTGAACGAACAGGGTGTTACAGAAAATGGTTGTTTAATGTTTTCTTTTTGTGAGTTTACACCTGTTATTACAGTGTGAGCACAGGGGCCCCTCTCACTTGTCACTTCAGAAAACACCTTACTGGATCTTCTATCAGGGATGTTGCAGCACAGAGGTGTGAAAGTTGCTGCCTTAGAGGTTTTTGATGTCTCACACTATTTAGCCCTTTCTTTAAAGATTGGTATAGAACGGAAGATGTTAAAAGCATCTTAGACTGTTGTTATGAGAATATGTTTTGCTTATTTTGACCTTTTTGTTTGTAGGGTCAGTCAGGCATGAAAAAGAGAAAAGAAAACTGCAAAATGCGTCATTGTTGGTGCGTCATGGCTGCACATATTGTATCTACTTTTTATAGAATTCTTATAGTATTAGTGTTTATCACTGATTTTCAGACAGAACCAGTTTGTGTTGTTTGGTGCTGGCTGAATTGCTCACCTGCGTCCGTTTAGCATAGCGTGCCTGCCTGTTGTATGGCAGGAATTCCACACAGTGCCAGTAAAACAGCAGGAGGTCAGGGGATCCAGAGAAAACAGTCATAAAACTCCCTCTATTACCTGCAGCAATCAAACATTTGTCTATCAGTCCCTGCTGCTTTCTGCCTCCTTCACCTCCAGTCTTATTTAGTAACAAAGGGGCTTATGTGTCAGTTTAGTCCAGTTCTTTTATTTCTTTTTTTATTTTAGTTATTTCATAAGGGAAATCTGCAGAGGCATAGCAGAGGGCAGGGGAGAAAACATCACTTTAGTTGCCTTTTTGTACTAAAATAAGAAGTATATCAATGTCAGATATTGGTTTATTTCTGTAGATGAAAAAGCTTGCTGTTCTTGCAGTTCTGTAGAGCCACATATACATCTACGGCTTTTTCTTTTAAACCACAGACATTGTTTTCCTGAGCTGGCTGAACCAGGGAAGCTGGTTGCTATATTATAGAGGCATGTTTTCACTGGGCGTTATAAAGGGGACAGGATTTCCTCTGTAAGGTCCGTACAGCCCTCATCACACACAGGGCTGAGGAGAGCACATGGGATCTAAAAAAAAATATTTTTTGGTCTCGATTCAGTTGAATTTTGCCCCATATATATCAAAGAGAAAGTTCTAAACTAGTAATTAAAGTGAAGATATTTGCAAGCCTCACTAACAAGCTGAACTCGAAACTCCAGATTTGTCCTATTCTAACCTCTTCCCACCTACTGGGCTGCTCAACTTTTATGATGCTGCCTACAGAGGCCTGCTGCTTAGTTTTGTCCTTGAACAACAAATGTCGTGTTCAGCAAAAAAAGTCCTATGAAGCTGTCCAGATAAGCAGACGTGGTACCAATGTGAAAATTAAGTTAGCACAAATATTGTCGTATTGTCTTATAACTGATCATTTGTAGCAGATTTGGTTAGCTTTTTATTTTGCCCTTTTACCAAGGTGTACCCTGCTACCTTACAAAAAAAAACATTTCTTTCAGAACAATTAAAGTTTTCTATTTCACGTGACATTCATTTAACACATTTCATAGGGTGCCATCTTTTCTGAGCAAAAGTATCTTTAAACATATTTAAATAAATAAAGATTAGTCTTTTTTTAAGATACTTTTCTTTAACAAATAAGACAAAATGTGGAAAAAAAAAAGACTCAACTTTATCTGATTATTTTTTTCTAATCAGATACAAGTGCTGCAGTTTGTTTTTATAGACAAAAATTAATACGATCCTTAGTTTTTGTAGCATTAAATAAGCCATTTGGTCCCCAAACATAAAGAAACATTGATAGTTTATTATCCTGAAGTTGACTTGTCTTGTCTATTTACTCCATCGCTGCTAACTTATTGACAGTCTAACTCTCTACATAACACTTTCTTAATGCCTATTCATGGTGCTCCATTTGTAATTATGTCTTCCAGCTTCATATAGCCGGGAGGTCATGACTCGCCTGTGCAATTTTTAGAAAATCATGCCCTTGGTTTTTTATAATGATCTGAGTGTTTTATACCCTTTTCAATGGTTATTCCAAAAAAAGTAAAAAAAAAAAATCCACTTGGAATGACAATGACTTGGATGACTGAGAATCTTCAGCAGCACTTTACAATGGTGTTAACAGTGTAAGGGTCTTTGTTGTGTGGTGTATAAGAGTGTTTCTTGGTGCTGGTTCCTGTCTGTCTTTGTCTTGTTCTCTCAAAGTTTCTCAGTCTCAAGCGTTGTATATACTCTTTAGGTCACAAAGTCTGCGCTGTGCCTTTAATGTAGTATTGATTTTTGGCAGAGCTGGTTTTGGTCATTACATTTTGCACATTTCAAAGCAAAATGCTCAGCTCTTGAGAACTTTTCTACGCAAACTCAAAGGTGGAAAAATTATGGAAAATTGGGCTTTCTGCCTAACATATAAAGAAAACAAAGATCTAACCAACAACCAACCAACCAACCAACCAACCAACCAACCAACCAACCAACCAACCACTCACTCATCCATCCACCCAACCTACAGTCAAGATTCAGATTTATTTGACTTCAGCGATCATATTGGACTAAAATGAGCTGACAGCTGCTGAAATCCGACCCTGGGAAAGTATGGATCGTTTTGACTTGACGGCCTGTGTAGACACTCTGTTAGCAGGCAGAATAATGAAGCATCATTTACTTTGTGTGCTCTATCAAAAGCCAGGTGTTTAGTAATGGGTTGTCTTTCTTTACTTTTAAGGTTAATCTTCCAAAGATATATGGCGTTAATTTTAAGGAACTATTAGGCCAAGAATGGTATTGAAGAAAATTAACTTTCTAAAATGAGTGTTCAGAATCTGGGACAGACTGATTAGGAATGATCTGGTTGTTAGTGAAGCATTGAGTTACATTATAGCTTATGTGCCCTAAAAACTTCAAGCTCCAATGCATAGTGGTGAAACATATACGTTTTTGTTCATTATTTTTCAACCAGTACTACATGCCCTTTGCTGTATCCTAGAAAGTCCAGCTTTTGTTTAACAAGACCTGTGGTCAGCAGGGAGGTAAACACTGAGCAAAGTGAAGCTGTTCTGCTTACTCAGGTAGAAAATTCCCTTGAGGTTGTGCTTTTAATTGAATAAGATGCCTCAATAGAAGCAAGGGTTTGCTTTTAGCACCAGCTCGTCTCATGACTCAGTTCGGATGCATGCATCCATTTAACTGCTTGTCTTGATTAATGATAGATAAGTACAGTGGAGCATTTCGATGTGTGCTTGCAGTTTCCATATACTTTATCCAAGCTCTGGGAAGATAAAGCCAGACAGTAGATGGTTCGATCCGGTAGTTTTAGCTGAGTTTGGACAGCTTGCACATTCATATTCACTGAGCCTTTTAGAGCTGCTGCAGTTCTGCCCGGTATCACTGGAAATGTCACCGCTGTGTGGGATGCATTCAGTAACTGGCAGGATTGATTTCATCTTCGCCTTTTCTGCAAGTGTGGAAAATGTTGCTCTCGGTAACAATGATTGAAAGATGATGATGGGAAACATCGTCTTTTTTTTTGCCCATTCTGGCTTCACCTTATTTGTGCTGGCTCCATTTTCTTTGGTATGAAACAGTCCTTTCTGACTGTACACAAAGTATTTTAGTTTTTTTAGCCTGCAGGGATTGAGATTCTGATACACGCCTTGCAAAAGTATTTATATACCTTGAAGCAGTTCCAGCATTTTTCCACTGTGTAACTTCAGATTTAAATGTATTATGTAGTCTACGATGGAGCTGAATGAAACAGAGACGAGGCTTTCTGTATATTTATGTAAATAAAAACATGGAAGTGTGGCATGAAGCTGGGTTCAACCTTTTTATTCAGCGCTTCATACCACCACATTTTTCTGCAGCTTCAGCTGTAAGTCATCTAGGGCCTTTTTTTTGGTCAGCCTTGCATATCTAGAGACGGAATGTCATCAGGTCAAAAAGGTCTATTTGGTCTCTTTCCATGTGAACTGTGTTCCCTAAAAGACTTGTGAAATTGAATTTTTGCCACTTTTCCAAATTGACTTTTGAAGTACCGGATTAGCAGTTTTCCTTTCAGCAGATTATTTCCCTCTGAAATGTGGATCCTTGCAGCTCCTCCAAAGTAATCATTGGCCTCTTGGCGGCTTCCCTCCTTGCTTGGCCGGTTGATTTAGGTGGGCGGACATTTCTTTGTACGTTATCAGTTGTACAATACTCTTATCTGAAATTTTCATCATTTAGGGTATTAATATTTTTATAACCTAACCTTGATTTTAACCTTACCAAAACCCGTCTTATGAGTTGCCTTTTATGATGTGATCTAAAAACCCCTAGAGGCCGAAACAGAACAGCTATATTTATTTATTATACTAACGGGTGAGCTCTTGGTATAATTTAGGATTGTTCGAGTACAAGGGGGTTCAAGAGATTTTTTCTCTATTTAATTCATTTTTTCTTTTTCATTATTTTGTGTGAATTGATGTCACAATAAATACATTAAAGTATGTACTTGTAACATGATAAAATATGAAAATAATGCTTTTAAACAACACATCCTTAACAGCTGTAAATTAGATTAAATATAAAAAAAAGAAAAGGACCTTGGTTTTTTTTTATCTTTTAGAAAAATAAAATAAAAATGACACCCACTGGGACAGATCAGCTTTAACTCTTATTTCTTTCCTTTTTATTTTCTTTTTTTAATTCATTCTTTTATTCATACTTTGAATAAGGGAATTAAAGCAAACTTCTTTATGTTTTATCCCTCATTCCAGGTGCCCTCACAGTCGGCCTTGTCCGGCAGTGTCAAACCATACACGGACGAGAGCGGACCTGTATCCCGCCGCGGCTGCCCCCTGAGTGGGTCACTACGCTCTTTTTCATCATCATGGGCATCATATCCCTCACAGTCACCTGTGGACTGCTTGTAGCGTCCCATTGGCGTCGAGAAGCCACCAAATATGCCCGCTGGATCGCCTTTACTGGCAGTGAGTCAACAAAACCGTAAAATACACCTTGAATTAAATTGTTTTTAACACTTTAAACTAACCAATGTTTAATTATGTATATAAAGCCTTGATTTTGTTAGCAGATTGATGTCGGAATGCAGCTTGTTTGGTGACTAAATACGTATACTATATACCGGTAACCACAGTTCTTCAGCCATAAAGCTTTCTTCTTTGTTTTTTTTTTTTTGTTTTTTTCTGTATCTGTATCTGTATAGATGCTCTTGGAGTGCTCAACAATAACTCATCCATCACATGCATTGTTCCAGGGCTGATTTTACAAAGCTGTGTGGGTTGGTGGAATTTGATTGGTCAGTCAGTTGAGGGAAGCTTCAAGCACTCTCACACAGATGGAGCAGTGGTATGTGAAGCCACAATGGCTCGATTATTGTCCAAAGGCTGGAAGCATGTTTTCTTTTAAATTGCTCAGACACAAAAAGAAAAAGAGGTTTGAGAAGTTGGAAAAAAATCAACACTTAGATAGTTATTCTTTCTTTGCCACCTCTATTGCAGATTTATGTCGTTTTGTTTTTTAAACACTCCCTAATTATGTGGTAAATTTACACTTTTAAATGTCCTCCATGCTCTGAAAATGCCCCCTGAGAAACTTAAAAGGCAGAAACAAGTGATGGACGATCTCATCTGATTCTGCTCAGATGCAGCAGAATAATATCTGACTGAGCGGCTGGAGCTACAACTAGAGAGAAACACTTACTCAAGGTTTAAATTTATCCAATAAACTCCATATCCAAATGACTTAATTACCTCTAACCCATAACCCAAATTTGGCTCTTGACATATTATATTATCGTTTTTTTTTTTTGCTACCATCTTTTAAACTAAGATTTCATTATTTATTTATTGACAGGCTTTACAGCATCCCCTAGGGGAGACTATGAAAATTCAATGACTACCACAGATGACAAAATCTGTTGAGGTATTGGAATAGAAGATAGGCCCTAGTGTTTTTTGTTCTTTTGATTTTTTTTCTTTTTAGATGTGTAAGTTTTTTTTTTCAAGAAAATGCATTTATAAAAAATCTTTTACGAACCAAGATAATATTGTGTAGGTCATATTGCTTTATGCAAAACAACACACAAGAATGAAAAAATAAAGCAACTAATGTACCTGAAATAAGGCAGGCATGCTTAATACCAATTTGTTGTCAGATGTGAGGCCAAACTATTTTATTTACGAGGAGAGCCAAAATTATTCCTGCTGTTAAAGATGAGTTAGGAAAATGATTGTTGCGGTAATGTTTTTTCAAACCAGATTCCTAGACTTTAGCAAAACTATAGAATAGATACATGCAGGCTATTGTGCCTATGTACTCATTGAGAAGAAAATGTCCCTCTTCCAGTTCTGCACTTTGTAAATCAAACCTAAAAAGCTCCAATTGGCTGAGGAAGTAGTCAGGCTATCAGTTCAGGTAGCCACCCTGCTTTACAGACATGCTGCCCTTAGCTAGGAAACGGTGTCATCATAACATGAATGACTGATGGAGCGCTGCTACTTTAGTATCCAAACAGACACATTTTTGTTTGGAAGCCAAAGAAAATTGCCTTCTTTCAGCCAGCTGACCGGCAGTGGTCTTCAAAAAGATTCCGGTCACTATGGCTGTTGAACTCCTAGACAGCCGGAGAATTTTCTGGTCATGGAGATGTTGTTTCTGGGATCTTCTTTAAGGGAATATACACTGTAAGTTGCTCAATTTATTGAGATAAATCTACTCTCCACCTTAAGGTAATCATTGTGTCAAACTGCAAACTTAAATATGAATTCAAGCTGAGAAAGGATACTCTCCCGATTGTTTGAAGGAAAGTTTCAGCAGTTCTGAAACAGCGAAAGTTAAAAACATTGATATAACATAGTGTTGTTAAATTGCCCTGCAATTTAAAATCACTGTAAGGTACATCATACAAATGCATTACTTTGCAGCATCCCTTTCATATTTTTTTTTGTTAAATATGCAACAAATTATAGTAACAGTTAACGCAAATTTTTAAAAAAAGAAAAAAAAAACATGGACATTCATGTACCTGATCCTAAGAGGGAACGCCTATTAAACAAATGCTTCCTCGTGCACATTCTGTGTAAAAGTAGCTGTTTGCATCGCTCATACAAGCTTACTTTCCAATAGAATATTTGCAACTTTTCCGCTATGTTAGACTCACCACCTGTAAGTGAAAATGGTGATGAGCACATAGGATGCCTTACATAAACATATCACCAGAATGATTGATAATTAGGAGGACCACTTATTTTGATGATCCAGCCTGAAAAAGAACATCCTCCACCATACCTTTAAATGAGTTTAATTAATTGCTTTATGTGAAGTTCTGCATATTTTCTTGGTTCTGAGCTTATTGAGCAAAAAAATCTGCCAATTGCATCTGAAAAACATCACATAAAAAGCAAAGTCAGATGTTTGGAGCTAAAATGATATTTACTTCATAACCAGATTACACAATCATTTGTTAGACAAGGGTGGTGTTTTGTAAATGCAGACCAAGTCATGTAAACCATCATGCTGATTAGGACCCCTCTGGGTGTTTTTGTGGGAAAAATATGAGTTGAACACAATAACTTTTGGAAACCTGCTTTATTGTTGCGAAAGGGTTTCTAAATCACATCAGACTCTTCTTTCATATTTTTCATTTATTTACCATCTGACAGATTTATAGTACACAGAGCTGTGCAGAGTGATGATTGCTGTTAAGAGACATCAGTGTCTTTAACTGCACATTAACAAGGAACGTAGCTGTTGTGGTTCCTATTAGAGGAACTGCTGCTGATTAGGTCTGCTTACTGACTTATATTATTTTAATATACTAGAGATAGCAGGGCTGTTTTAACTGTGTACTATGTCTCATGAACTAATCATTTTGTTTCTTTAAGTTTTACATAGACCAGATAAGCTTACTGAAAACTAAAAACAGCTGTAGATGATTTAGGACAAAACAACATAACCCTAAAGGCTTACCATCAGTTTCATTTTATTTAAAGTTCATAACTGACGGTCACCTACAGCTGTTGCCTACAGCTGTGTTAAGCAGGTTTTCTCTGATCATTTTTGGATGCATTTAAACTAACACAGCTATTTGTTTAAAGCTACAGTGTGTAATAATTACAGGGATATACTGTCAGAAATGTAATATATTATACATAACTATGTTATTTATCATCATCTACGAGCTCAGCCTCTTAACCTTAATATTTGCGTTGCCTTAGAATTCGTTATTTATAATTACATAGGAGCGGGTCTCGCAGCCATGGAGGCAGACATCTTTGCGCTACGGCAGCGCAGAGCCAACAAACTAGCGATTGCGAGATCGCCCATTACGCTCGAAAGTAACTACGGCAAGTTGAGAGAGATGAACTGAGACGGTACTGAACACTAGATGGCAGTATTAAAATTATCTATGTAAACAAACCTCATCACTTGAGAAGGTAGGTGATGCGGATGTCGTGGAAGACATTTTGTCCCGTAACGCTCGCCGTACTGTTGGGGGGGAGAAGCGGTGGGGGGGAGATGTTCATGTTGCTGCGGTCTGCAGTCTGGATGTTAGATGTCGCTGAAAATTACACACTGTAGCTTTAAGCGAAAAGGAAAATCATTTTTTATTTTAGCACATCCTGGGGGCTTTGTGTTCTCTACTGAAGAACTGTTGACTGGATATCTTCAGACTCCTGTAAACTAATTTGCTGCATAATTGTTTAGACATTTTTATGTTGTCCAAAAGCCTGCTTTTTATTGGTGGATTAGTCCTGGTTGATCAGTAGAGCTGCTTTCTCTGATCCTCAGAACCTGATCTCTGATAGCCATGAAGGAAACTAGAACCGACAGAATCACAAAGACATGACTCTTTGAACTGTAGTTTTAATAGGTTTTGGTTTGCAATTAACTCATTTGTGTGATTAGTCAATCAAAACTATGTATTCTCTTGGGGATTATTTGAAGTTTTTTTTTTTTTTTAAATGGTAAAAAAGCATCTGTTATATTTACATTCTTTCCAAAGTATTTTGAAAATTACCAGATTTATGACTTTTTTTATTTCTTTGTTGTTGTTTTTTTGTGAAGTAATTTGGTTTGCTATTGGTTTACTGCATTTAGTAATAGGTAGATATTGTTTTTTATCTCCAGATAATCTCTGATTTGGATTAGATTAACTTTACTGATAAAGAACAGAAATGGTTTTACTTTTAAAGGGGTAAAGAGTCTCCTGATGTGAAAACTTGCCTTGATTATGTGAAGTCCATAAAAACCTGAAGGATTCCGTCGCTTAGAGGAGCTGATAAGCTGTACTGTAGTTTAACCAGCAGCAAGTGTGCAAATTACCACATGTCATCAGCTCAGGCTTTTAAGATGTCCAGTAGATCACGAAAATGCACTTAAATTAACTCTGTGCAGAGGCTGAAGGATGCTAGGCTGTATTTTCATGACTTGGCTTGTTTCTTTCTCTCATCACCAACCAATTTCTGCCTCTTAAATAAATGTTATTTAGTTTCAGGCTTATAATGATGAAAATGAACAAATATCTGTCCGTCTGGTTGTTGCCATATTAGCAGATAGAACTCTCACTTTGTACACGTCAACAGCCTTTGACCCAGCACAATAGCTTTTTTATCCATATAAAGACAAATTGTTATCTGATTATTAGGTGGTTTAGGTGGACGGACAGTCCGATCAGAATGCATGTAAACGCTCATCAGGATCAGCTTATTACCCATGTCAACAGGGCAAAATAACGCTTTGAGTTGCTAGATGCTCTAACAAAATCTATCCTAATTTATCCTGCCACGGTTTACATGACACATTTTTAGTCTGATCATCCATTGTATTCATATTACTTATGCCCATTTAAATGGTACATTCTGATTATTTTTGTTTTTGAGTCTGAATACTTTCCAAACCATTCGAAAAATGTGCTGCATGTAAACATAGTTACTGACACCTTGACTTTCTTTGCCTTATAATTGCC